CAATTCCTACATAGTTCACAGACAGTGTTTGAAAAACATGAATAGCATCATTGTTTTGACGTTGACTCAACAGGAACACAAGTTTCAGGTTAGGGAAGGGAAGAACCTGCTACATTTCTGAGCCCTCTTCAAAGCTCTCTGTGTATGAGGCCACCAGTAATAATAATAATCCTTGCATTTGATACAGCGCCTTATCACATCTTCTAGACGTCTCAAAGCACTTCACAGAATATACTGTAAAGTGAATTAACTGTATATTTGTAGGCAAAATGCGGCAGCCAATTGCGCACAGCAGTGTCCCACAAACAGTCGTGGATTGAAGTGACCAAGTTATTATTGTTTTTTTTCTTGAGGGATTATTATTAGGCGTGTGGAGTAAGGAAACTTGCCCAGGTGTCTCGCTTGAGAGGCGAGTGCTGTAACGACTGAGCTACAGGACTCCACAGTAAGGTTAGTGTGACATCCTCTACAATCGAATGACCTGCCAACACTCACACATGAATAATAGCCACTTGAGCAGCATAGCAAAGAACAATAAGAGCCCATGGAACTACACTTCAATAGGAGGATGCCAGACCAGGAGCATATTTCTCTTCGACCGTGCCTTCAGCTCTTCTCTCGACTCTCTACCCCCTCCTCGCTCCCTCCCTTCCCTCCGCTCACCCTGACCATTTCCCCCCTGCTCGGGTCCCGACCCAACTGTCCAGCGCCTTGGGACGTCCTCCCGGCGTGAAAGGCGCTCTATAAATTAAATCTTGTTGTTGTTGATGTCAATGGGGAGAAAATCAGAAAAAAGGGACTTTTTTTTAAAAATGACAAATATTTATTGTCCTGTTCGACCCTCAACTGTCCTTCATCCCCGACATCTGTGCCATGGTCCACTCCACCTTCCTCCACTTCCGCAACATTGCCTTGCTCCGCCACTGTCTCTCATACCAGGCCGCCGATACCCTCATCCAAGCATTCATAACATCCAGGCTCGATTACGCAAAATCCCTGTTTGTCGGCCTCCCCAACTCCTCCTTCCACAAGCTGCAGATCGTCCAGAACTCTGCAGCCTGTGAAATCTCCCGCACAAGACTCCACGGCCCTATCACCCCCATCCTTGCACGGTTCAACTGGCTTCCCATCACTCAGAGGATACAGTTCAAGATCCTGGTCCTCACCTTCAAAGCCCTCCATGGCCTTGCGCTCCCCTGTCTCTGCAACCTCCTAACCCCCTACTAACCTGTCCATTCCCTCCGCTCAGTGGACTCCAGCCTGCTTCACGTTGCCCGCCTCATCATTGGTGGGCGGACCTTCAGCCTCTCTGCCCCCACCCTCTGGAACTCCATCCCACAATACCTCGGGCTCGCCCTCTCCCTTGCCTCCTTCAAGACACTCCTCTTCGACAATGCCTTTGGTCACTCTCCTACCTCTACCCTCCCCGTCCTCCATCCCTCTGATCCCAACCCCCAGCTCGGGTGCGGACTCCTGACTATCCTTGGGACGTCCTCCTGACGTGAAAGGCACTATACAAATGTAATTTGTTGTTAAATTAACTTTTATAGAAAACCCGGACATACACCAAGGTATTTAACCTGAGAAACTAAAACACAAAGAAGTAACAGCAATGATTCACCAAATGATTCATTTCCTAGAAGACTACCTAATGGCAAAACTACCTATCTCATCAGTACCAGAAACAAATCACCCAGTAGTCACAGTTAACCAAATGGGAAATATCATGGTAAGAATTTCCATTGCAGGCAGTGTTTTTTTTGCAAGTAAGAAAGAAAAGTGGTTTGGATTTTTACAGGGCTGAGAGAGAAAAGGACAGAGTGAAAAGGAAAGAAAGTCAGAGAGATGACCAGCACAATCTCCTACTATAATGGTGGAACAATTTTTTTACTTAGCTCTGTAGTCAATTTGTATTTTGCAGGATGTCCAATTATCTGTACTGTTTGCTTATCTGCAAAGGGGCAATCCCAATTTGTGCGGATTATCATTTCTCTATTGTATGTTCAAATATAGAAGGAAATGTTGTTAATGATGTTTACTTGTAATTATTTTCACCTGCATGTACAGTACAGTATATGGTCAGACTGCAGTTAGAAACCAATCATAACCTTTTCATCAGTAATCAGACAAGTGACAGCTGAGAATGAAAATATGCAGATTCTCCAAGAGATGACACAAAATGGATGGCTAAAGCAATAGAGACCATGCTCCAAGGAAACTGGATTACAGAATTGAATTCAGTGATAGTTTGAAAAAAATATGCTTTATGGTCTCTGTAAGAAAATATTACAGAAAACTCATTTGGAACATCTTGGTGTTGAGAAACACAAGCAACGAAACTATTAAATCATGCAACAAGAAAGTTTTAACCAAGATCCACATAATCAGCCTGTCTCAGTTGAAAGCTCATGCTTCCCTCCGATTCAGAAGGTTGTGGGTTCAAACCCTATATCAGGGCTTTGAATTCACAGACTAAGCTTCACAGGCAAATGCATTGCTGGGGTATGCTGCATTGTTGGGAGCTGCCATGCATCGGATGAAATATTAAACTGAGATATTTGCTTCAAATCTCTGAATACAAATCAAAACAAAATGTTCATAGATGCAGCTTACTATTCTAATTACTCAGAAATCTGCCTACAGCATATACCTGTAGTAAAATTATTATTCAAACAATTAAATATGCATTTTCTAGAAATGGTATAGCAAAAGACAATATATTTTTGGAAGGGCGAAATTTAACGCTATTTCCAGCCCAAAAACTCTAATTTGGAGTATCTTCAAGAAAACACGACAATCAAGATCTTCAGGGGAATCAGGAACAGTGGACACCAACTATAAATGTGTTTCCTAGTGCCTATAATAGCACACACCCTTTCTGCATAGTTCTTACCATTGCAACTCTCATCTACATGCATATTATATATATATACACACATATATATATTATATACACACACATATATAAATATATTATATGTATATAAATAAAGGTCAACATACTGAAAGTTAGCCATTCTGGCAAAATGCTTGAGGCAAAGAAGAGCCAGAATAAGCAGCAGAAATTCCATCATGACCAGCATACAAACGTCTAACTTTGTTATGAACTGGTAGGTTCAGTTTATGTCAGAAATAAGCAAATCAGGAGTCGTCAGAGAAAGGAACAGTGTTAGGCCAAGTTGCCCATGAGTCTTACCATGGTGAAAACAAGGAGAGGTGCAGAGCTTCAGCAAAATCAAAGACCTTAAAGGGATATTCAGGATTCATTACCTAATGTGGAGTCATAAATTACAATCTAAACTACATGTAACATGCAGACTATTAAGTTTAAAAAATTAGCTGAGATCCAGCCTACACTAATTCTAAAAACATTCCATACACAGAAAAAGCTATCAAGACTAGATCACAATTAGAAATAAAAAAATCAGGGATAGACTTAATGAGTGATGTTCAACAGTGTTATGCTGTAAATTGAATTTTATCTAGTTACAATGTTTTGTGGATCATAAGCTTTATAGAACTACAATTTTAATGTTTGAAGTGCATTTTTAGATACTGGATCATTATTGTTACAAGATATGTTCACTCATTGCTAGTCCTTCATTTTAAAAGGGCAAATACAAATAATATTGATCAAAACACAAAATACTGCAGATGCTTGAAATCTGAAACAAAAACAGAGAGCTGGGTAAACTGTTCTCAGTTCTGACGAAGGGTCGTGGACCCGAAAGGTTGACTCGCTTTCCTTTCTCCATAGATGCTGCCGGACCTGCTGAGTTTTCCCAATTCTCTGTTTCTGTTTCAAATAATATTGATGCCTGATTTAGACTGCTTGAAGCTGTGGAGTGATTTGGAGTAGGGAACAGAAATTATACAACATTCACAATCAATTGCACACTCAGATGTGCTCGAATATCAAAAGACCAGCCACTTGACCAGCTCTTTAATAATTTTTCAACTGAGGCCAAATACTGTTGTGCTGCACACCCAAATTCACAATACTGTTATGGTACAAACCCTGCCAAACCCACTTCAAGGTGGTCTCAGTAAGCCTACTCCCAAAGTCGCTTACTTGCCAAACACAGCTCAATCACATTTATAACATGATTCTCCCACTGCCCCATAATCTGCAAGAGGCACAACAAAAACTGGGCAGTAGTACCATTGCATCAAAATCTCTCATGATCATTAAACTGCTTGCACAGCCACTGCAGACACGTTGTCTTATGAGACAGAGGTGTCCTGTAGTAGAAGACAAAGGTACGTGTGTGTGTAAAAAAAAAGACGATTAACAAAAGTCTTCCTGAGACCTATACACCTATATTCAACACAAGACATGGGAAGTTTCCCTTTTCCACTGAGGGTCAGATTGAACTACAAGTTATAGATATGGTCGAGCCACACAGAGTGCAGCACATGCACGAAACTGGACCGCCTGTTAAGTGAACCTTGCAGAAAGCAGCCCTTTAAAATGCAATTTTCGACCAATGCTTCTTCATCGGGTGTCGGGGAGCGAATGAAAAGAATCAATCCATCTGCTGCCTATTTTAACCAGATCTGGGGGACGCGGAGGGGGTGCAGGAAGCTGTTCGTGTTACATGTTAAACGGGTATCAAAAGCCAAAGCCCTACGAGGTTTTGCGAAACGAAACGCTTAGAAATTCGGAACGAGTCTAAAACCTGCAGTTTATTCCCCGGGAAACTTTTAGCGCAGGTTCCGCGTGGGGCCGGCGGGCAGCCCAGGCCAGGCCAGGCCAGGCCAGCACAGGCCAGCACAGGCCAGGCCCGCCTCACCCCCGCAACCAGGGCAGGCCCCGCAGCACAGGCCGTGCTGGGGGGGGGGGGGGGGGCACACAAGCCCGAGGTGGAGGGGGGGAGGGAGGAGGGGGAGAAAGAAAAGAAAATAAAGGAGGAAGAGTCGAGGCTCCGGGCGGGCGGGCCGCCGGGCGGTATTAATACCGGGGGAGAGGGAGTCAAACGATGCGGAGTCCCCGCGCTCACCGTCAATCAGGTCTCTGGGCCACAGGTAGAAGGTGGCCGGGATCACCAGGAGCCCCACGAACGAGGTGAGGAAGTAGAAGGAGGTATTGCCGCTGTCATCGTACTGAAACTGCTGCCCGGCCATCGCCAGCCGCCCGACACCAGCCGCTCGGGCCTCGCTCTCGCTCACTCGCAGCACGGACGTGGCACTGCGCACGCGCAGCAAACGCCGCGGCCGCAGCGTGCGCACTCTCGCGCTGACGCTGACGCGCGCGGGGCGGCGCGGCGCGGGGCGGCGGTCACGTGCTCACACCGGCTCCTCCCCCACCCCCCCATCGTGCATTCGGCACTGACAAAGTGGAGCTCTGAGCCCCAGTCACACGGCGGACCCGCCCTCACCTCCCTTATTAGGGTATAGCATACACCTGCACCACATGCAACCTCTGGTCACACGCTGAAAAGACAAAACACAATCCATAAAATGGTCACTTCAGTCCACAGCTGTCTGTGGGACGCCACTGTGCGCAATCGGCTGCCGCGTTTCGCCCATAAATGTGCTGTCAATTCACTTTACAGTATATTCCGTGAAGCGCTTTGAGACTTCTCGCAGACGTGATAAGGTGCTCCATCAAACACAAGATCATTATTATAATAATTATTATATATGGCCTATATATAATATATAATATAAAGCTGGATGAAAGGGCAGCAGTGCATTCAGTCCCATTTACCTGCATTTTCCCCATAATAATAATAATAATAATCCTTGCATTTGATATAGCGCTTTTCACGTCGGGAGGATGTCCCAAAGCGCTTCACAGAACACACTGTAAAGTGAATTGACTGTATATTTGTGGGCGAACGCGGCAGCCAATTGCGCACAGCAATGTCCCACAAACAGTCATGGATTGAAAATGACCAATTCATTATTGTTTTGTTTTTTGGAGGGATTATTATTAGGTGTGTGGAGTAAGGACACTTGCCCAAGGTTTCGCCCTGTGCCTGGAATTGAACTCAGGTCTCTCACTTGCATACTCTTTCAACTTTACTCATTTGTATACATCGTATCTCTTTGGAGGTAGCCCTTTGACCATGCTTTGGGGTCATCTTTTCCCCTCCCCACTCCCTTCAACTTCCACCCCCAGCTTGGGTAATAATAATAATAATTGTTGCATTTTCTTTAGCGCCTTATCACATCTTTGAGATGTCTTAAAGCGCTTCATAGAATATACTGTATTGACTGTATTGTTGGTTGTTGGTACCTAGACAGAAGTGTAAAGTGCTCTGAGACATCTTCCCAACATAAAAGGCACTGCCTCAGTATATACTGTATATTCATCTCTAAACTGATGTCCCATCTGCCGTTTTTCAGGTGGACGTTAAAGATCCCATAGCAGCACTATTCAATAGCAACAACAATTTGCATTTGTCTATTGCCTTTCACTTTTGGAGATCAATATTTTCTCAGTTAGGAGCAAGCCGAGGGTGGAGATGGAACAGCCAAAACAGATGGTTCTTTAGGTGGGATTTGAAAGCAGAGAGGGAAGGGGTGAGATGTATTTAGGGTGGGAGTTTCAGAGTGGTGGTGGAAGACTATGTATGCACTTGAAGATGAGGGAATGCTCTTAAAATTGATCTACTAGGAGATAGAGAGGCAATGGGGATGATAGGCTCACAGAGCCTGTTGCAAGAGAAGATGCAGGTTGCAAAATTCTGAATGCTCTGAAGCCTGTGGAAGGTGGAGCTAGGGATGCTGGCAAGCAGGGCTTTGGGAAAATAATATCTGGAGGTGACAAGAGCATAGATGAGGGTTTTACTGTGTTAGAGGTGAGATTTATTATACAATTTACACTTAAATAGCATCTTTCATTTGAGGAGAAAGTCTCAAAGCGCTTTGCACAGCTGGCTGGGTCGATGGAGGCAGAGGCAGGCAATGCTATGGAGGTGATGGAATTTTGTTCAGAGCCCAGATTAAATATCTGAAGTAAAGATGAGGGTAGAACACAATTCTAAGGTTTCATACAAACTCCGTAAATTGGAAGCAGCAACTAGACAGGTTGATATTGTCAGTGTCTTATTTAAAAAGAGAAGGGAGTTTTTCCCAGACACTCCTTCAGATAAATATATCATTCACGGTATGGCTGTTTGTAGGACATTGTTGCTGTGTGCAAATTAGCTGCTGCATTCACCAAAAAATATAAACCACTACACTTCACTGCAACTTTGTGAATCGCTTTGACACATTCTTCATGCTGTATCAAATCCAAGGATTATTTATTTATCTAGTTCTTTTTTGAAAGCTAATATAGATCCCGCCTGCCAACAGGACATTCCAAACCTGAACAACTCTGTGTAAAACAACAAATCCTTCTATTCTCCTCCCTCTGCTCCTTTGGTAATTATCTTAAATTGATGCCCTCGAGTCACTAATTCACAAACCAACAGAAACAATGTCTCCCTTTCTGCGCTTGTCAAAATGTCTCATAAGTTTAAAGACTCAGGTTCCAATGAAAATAGGCCCAGTTCCTCCAGTCTCTGCTCAAACAGGTAATGGTAAAGACATATGGCAGTAAAATCTCCAATGCCTGTAATATGATACATATATTAAATATACATTATTTATATCTTTATTATTTTGTGAAAATACAAATTCATGTGGATTCCTTCAGAATGCACTGATGGGTGTAATTCAAATGCTATTTTACAACAGATAAAGCTACCTATTGTAATTAATCTGCTTTCACTATTTTCCCCTACCTTCCACCACACAATTTAGACTGATAATATGTCTTTCATGTAGGATGAACGTCTCAGATTGCTTTCCAAGGACAATTGCGATCGCCAAGCAGAGAGGAAAGTTGGACAAGATTGAGGGTGTTGACCAAAGATATGGGCAAAAAGAGTTTTGAAGACAAGAAAATGGGGAGAGTTCCAGAGGGAGCAAGGGCATGGAGGCTGAGAGCACTTCCACTGATGGTGGGACAGCGGGAATGAGGGACATGCAGTGGATCATAAATGGAACAGCAGAGTACTGGCAGGAGAATTGGACTGGAGGAGATTGCAGGGAGGAGCAAATGTGTGAAGGGATTAAAATTACAGAATTCTAAAGAATAGGTCAAAGGTTCTGAAGTCGATCCACTGGGGCACTGGGAGCCAGTTAGAGCCTAGTGAAGATGGAGATACTGGGTGTGTGGAGCTTGGTGCAGAAGAGGATACAGGCTGTGAAGGTTTACCTTCACGAGTCGTTGCTTCCCAGCTTTGCTCATTCCGCTCCTAACATTCCCTTCACGAGTCCCTCCAATCGGGTTTCCATGCTGTGAGCAGCACGGAAACTGCTCTGGTCAAGATGAGAAACAACATTTTATTGACCAGGGCTCCCTCTGCCTCCTTGTCCACCTCGACCTCTCTGCCGCCTTCAATTCAGTGGACCACTCCATCTTCCTCCATCGCCTCTCCTCTCACCTCAACCTTCAAGGTTCTGTCCTTGAATGGTTGAGGTCTTATCTCTCACACCGTCTGCAATTTGTCTCTGACAACGGTTTCTCTTCCAGCCCCCGCACAATCTTGTGCGGTGTTCCTCAGGGCTCTGTCCCCTCCTCTTCAACCTCTACATGCTCCCCCTTGGTAACATCATCATCAGATATGGGGTCAACTTCCACATGTACTCAGATTACACATCTCTCTGCCTCCACCCTTGAATCCAGGACAACTGACATCCTGACAGACTGCCTGTCATACATCAAGTCCTGGATGAGAGCCAACTTTTCACAACTGAATGTCAGCAAGACCGGAGCCCTCCTGATTGGCTCGCGCCAGAGCCTCAGCACCTTAGGCACTGGCAGCATCAGCAGCCATCTCACCAGGCCAGTTAGGAACCTGGGTGTCTTGTTCCACCTTCAACTGTCCTTTTTCCCATATATCCATGCCATGACCTGCTCTGCCTTCCCCCACCTCTGCAACATTACCTGATTCCGCCAGTGCCTCACCCCTCAGGCTGCTGAAATCCTTATACATGCATTCATCACCTCAAGGCTCAACGTTTTTTTCATAGATTCATAGAATGTTACAGCTCAGAAGGAGGCCATTCGGCCCATCGAGTCTGTGCGGCTCTTTGACAGAGCAATTCACTTTCACTAACCCCAATCACCAGCTTTCTCCCCATAACCCTGCAAACCCTTCTTCCCCAGATACCTATCCAGTTCTCTCTTAAAAGTTGTTATCGAATCGGACTTCACTCCCTTTCAGGCAGATCATTCCAAATTCAAACAACTCACTGTTGAAAAAAATTCTTCTAACCTCTCCTCTGCTTCTTTTGGTAGATATCTTAAGACTGTGACCATAGGTCACAGATACACCTACCAGCGGAAACAGCTTTTCCTTATCTAGTTTGTCGAAACCTTTCATGATCTTGAAGACCTCTATCAGGTCCCCGCGTAACCTTCTCTGCTCTAATGGGAAAAGTCCTAACTTCTCCAGCCTGTCCTCATAGCTAAGATTCCCCATTCCTGGTATCATTCTTGTGAATCTCCTCTGCACCCTTTCCAGTGCCTTAATGTCCTTCCTGAAGTAAGGTGCCCAGAACTGGACGCAGTACTCCAGCTGAGGCCTAACCAGTGTTTTGTATAGATTAACCATAACCTCCCTACTCTTATACTCTATGCCCCTACTAATAAAGCTCAGTACACCAAATGCCTTTTTTACCGCCTTATCTCCCTGCCCCGCTACCTTTAATGATTCGCTTACTTGAACACCCAGATCTCTCTGTACATTCACCCCCCTTAAGATTGAGCTACCAAGTCTATATTGCCTCCTATCATTTTTCCTACCTAAGTGTATCACCTCACACTTATCCACATTGAAATCCATCTGCCACATGTCAGCCCATTCCACCATTCCACTATGGAAACTCCCTCTTTGTCGACCTCCCCAACTCTTCCCTCCACAAGCTCCAGATTATCCAGAACTCTGCAGCTCATGTCCTCTCCTGCACCAGGCTCCGTGACCCCATCACTCCCACCCTCGCCCGGCTCCACTGGCTCCCCATCCCCCATAGAATTTAAAATCCTCATCCTCACTTTAAAGACCCTTCACGGCCTTGCCCCCTCCTACCTCTCTGACCTGCTGATCCCCTATCAACCTGTCCGCTCCCTCTGCTCAGCAGGCTCTGGCCTGCTCCAGGTTTCCAGCCCAACCCAACCTACCATCGGCGGCCAGG